CCTTATTGGGAAAACGTAACTTTATTTAATTTTCCTAAATATATAATACGTTTTATAGTTTAAAAACATTTAATTTATCAAAAAGCTAATTTATTAACGTTTCTCGTAAGCTAAATATGAAATATATCGTTTTTCTAAATCCAGATGTTAAGAATGTTTAATTCTAGATAACATGAGGATACGAGAAATTGTAATAAGAAAATGATTTGCAATAGGGTGGCAGTGCGACTCGACGACCTCAACATTACCTTGGATGTGGTTTGATATTCCAGTCAGAGTTGATAAGCTCAAGCATGCATATTAAACTATGTTATGTCAATTATGGTCTGACACAGGCTGAACTCTAATGATTTTATGCATAGGAATGGGAAATCTTCTCGACCCAATAATATATATTTCGCCCTGTTCATTTTTCCAAAAGTTAATCTCGTTACAAAAAATATTAAAAATGACATGAATCTTCTTCAAATTTTAATATCAAGTTTTTGGTCTGGGCTCCTAATTTTAATAATCTTTTGTCGTAAGATATAAGTTAGGCGATATAAGATATAAGTAAACGAAAGAAAATTTTAAGGAGAATTAAAATCTACTTTGACATAAAATATTTATTTTAACGCGTCACGCTTCCACTTTAAAAGTCTTTTCTAGATTATCAAAAAATAGGGAAGAGAAAGAAAGTTATGAGATTTTGATGCTTGACAAAGTTTACAATAGTTGGCTAACTTATGCTACATAGAAAAAAAAGAGTTATCGAATAGACGGATTTAATAAAAACGTGGTCGATCCGCTTATTTTCGCTGTTTTCCTTGTTCTTCTTTCGTCGAACTTATTTCCATCATATTGCTTTCTTTAAATAAAGACTGAAAATTGATATTTTTTATCTTTACATTGCTCATTGTCACTCAGGGAATAAATATAAATATGAATGTCAATTAATTAATCTTTTTATGTAAGACTCTATAGAAATGTTTGACGTGTGGGATGTAATGATTGTTTTATGTTATATTATATCCATAATATTTAGTGATCTATTGACCAAATTACTTCTTTCAATTAATTAATCTTTTTATGTGAGGTTTTGGTTGGAATTAAAAGTTAGTGCGACGAAAATTGATATTTTTTATCTTTACATTGCTCACTGTCACTCAAGGAATAAATATAAATATGAATTTGAATTAATCTTTTTATGTAAGACTATTTAGAAATGTTTGACGTGTAGAATGTAATGATTGTTTTATGTTATATTATATCCATAATATTTAGTGGTTTAATGACCAAATTACTTCTTTCAATTAATTAATCTTTTTATGTGAGGTTTCGGTTGGAATTAAAAAGTTAGTGCGACGAGCGGCACTAACATTTCATTTCAAACAAAACCTCACATAAAAAGATTAATTAATTGAAAAAAGTAATTTGGTCAATAGACCACTAAATATTATAGATAAATATGAATGCAATAATTCAAAAGGGTTAGATTTATATCTATGCATACGTTTTTTTTCGCTTCACATACTATTAAAATATCAAAACTTTAAAAGTAAACGAATATTTGGTAAAATTTTTCAAATTCGTTACAGTATCTAGTATGTTTAACTTTTAAACAATTCATCTCATAGAAAAATGTAAAAAATGTTTTGACGGATATTCGTTTATGACAAATCAATGTGTACGTTGAAAGTGCTTGTAAAACTTAATATAAGGTCTACAACATTTTTTAAGAACAATTGATTAATTTATATTGTAAAATGGCACACTTAACTCAAAAATCATTAAACTATTTAGTTCTTAAGTAGCTTACATTCTAAGTGTTTATAGTTGGATGGAATTTGATAAATCAACGAGGTATATTTAATTGAATTTTGTGTTGTTTAATTGTAATTATAAATGATAATTTGTAGATCGTGAAATGCGGTCTGGTGTGACGTAGGTTTTAGCAAAACGTTTTCTTTATCGTGCCAACGTTTCGATCTTTATTGACATCATCTTCAGGGCTCAAAGTGTTTATTTTCTGTGTAGATGTGCCATTATTAGGGCGTTATCGGCGTGCACTCTCAACAAGACACCCAATAATGACACATAAACACAGAAAACAAGCATTTGAGCCTCGAAGATGATCTCAATAAAGATCGAATCGTTGGCACGATAAAATGTTTTTCTAAAGCCTACGTCACACCAGACCGCATCTCACGATGTACAAATTATCATTAACTAACGGTCACTAAACACCACACGTAATGATAAATATTGTAATAAATGGAAAGACAATAAATTAAACAAAAGTTAAGGTAAAAAAGACTACCAAACTTGAAAGCAAGAGTTTAGTTTTCGGAGACATTAAACTAATTATTAATTCATAAATCTACAAAAATATAGTGATAAATATATAGTATTTAGTGATTAAAAGCTTTAGTTTTATCCTTTTTTTATTACAAAATTTATTAACAAAATTATTTTTATTCAGTACAATCTTAAAACTTTATTTCGTTTTAAAGCTACTTGTTAAAAGCGATTTAGCCATTCTTTTACACCTTTGTTGTTGAAGAAACTTTTATATACAGAAATAAAACAACACTGCTTATTTTTATGTTAAACGGAACTCCTCTTCATGAATTAAACATTCAAGAGGTCAAACGATAATGTTAAAATACCGAACGCCCATTGTAAAAGAAAGGAATTTTAAAGAGCCAACTGCGGTATCTTTCGTCTTTATTTTCTTTTGTCCCTTTCAAACACATGTTTCTTCAAACCAAATTTAATACTTTCGTTAATTTATATTGTAGAAACTCTAAATATGTTTGTCTTTTTCCGAAGAATAATTCGCCAATGAATTGATAAGCAAGAATTGCTACGAAATTTATTAAACGTAAGATACTTCAATGATAAAGTAATAATGATTACATTGAACAATCGATAAATTACAAAAATACTACTGCTAGCAATTCTCTGACTCATAATAATAATAATAATAATAATAATAATAATATCAAAAATATATGACTTATGGTATAAATTTCCTTCCTATTGATAAACGACGATGGATTTAATGTAAAATAAAAAACGTGTTTTTAAAAAAGCATACTTTATGTAATGCCTACCAATGAACTCATAATAATTAGACTAAAGAAATGTTTATCTATAATAGAACTGCCATATTTAATGAATTTTTGAAGAGGATTTGATTGATTGTTCTTAATCTTCTGGAAATTATTATTATAAGTTCATATGTTTTGTCAAGAAAACTGAATGCATTAAAAGAAAATGGAAAAATTCCGATGTCAACAATGCCCAATTCCAAAATCTGTTTAAATTTTATTTTTATTTTTAAAACATTTGATTTATTGTGCTGGATCTTAAAATATAATTCTTTTGTGTAGAGATTAGTGACCGTTAATCGATAGTTATTCAGATATCGTGAGATGCAGTCGAGTGTGATGTAGGTTTCAGAAAAACATTTTCTTTATCGTGCCAACGTTTCGATCTTTTATTCAGATCATCTTCAGGGCTCAAAGTGTTTGTCTTCTGTGTAATTGTGCCATTCTTGCGTGTCGTGTTGAGAGTGCCCTCAAGTACATTTTTCAAACATGTAGACAACTCATTTTTTATTATTATGCCAGTGACTTGCACAAAACTTTTACAAACAGTTAAAGAGAGGGAGTAGGTAAATAGCTCAACCCAAAAATTGGTTATGTAATTCATAATAATTCTTTTGAAATAAAAAAATGTTTTCTGCTGAAATATTCAATCTCAGAATCAATTAGAGCTTTGAAATATGAACATGGTTAGAGAGAAAATAAGAGCTATATAAGAGAAACAAAGAGAGATAGAGATAGAGATAGAAAGAGAGAGAGAGAGAGAGAGAGAGAGTGTGAGAGAGAGAGAGAAAGAGAGAGAAAGAGAGAGAAAGAGAGAGTGAGAGAGAGAAGAGAGGGGATATCGTTTTTCTAATCAATTCAGAAGTTTCAGTTCAAAGTCATTTTTCAGTTCCAAGCACATCTCTCTGATACGGAAAGTACATTTTTCAAACATGTTGACAACTCATTTTTTATTATTATGCCAGTGACTTGCACAAAACTTTTACAAACAGTTGAAGAGAGGGAATTGGTAGGTAGCTCAACCCAAAAATTGGTAATGTAATACAATAAAAAAAGAGTTGAATGTATCTATACATCTATCAAAATGATTTTTCTTCTTAAAGCCATTGTCTGAATGACGTTTAATGTACATATTTTGCAAATAATATGTACATTAAAACATTCTTCGGTACGCTTCATATTTTTTCAAATTTGAAACAAAATAATAATATAAAGACCACCATTAATTTAATTTACTGAAAAGAATTTCATTTACTTTCTTACTAAACACCACGGAACATATTTTTATTGCATACTTTTTGAGAGTTCATTTCATTTAAAAAATGTAAATATCTCCTGAAAAATTAATCATCTTAGTTTATTATTAATTTAAGCACTTGAAATGAACGTGTGATAAAGAGTGTAGCCAGTTTTAAAAAGAGCTAAGGGCCTCGTTAAATCCCTGACCAACCCTTTTCCATGTTATTCTTTCTCAAGGAGTAGTCTACACAAAGAGCCGGGAGGAGGGACACTAGACATTCATTGAACATGGCTTGAAGAAAGAAAAAGAAGAGCAAAAACGTGAATAGGCGGACCACGAATGATCAATTGCAACAATCCCTCAGTGAAAACGTCAGAAATAATTAATTTCTCCTGTATGCCGTAAGTGTTGAACCACTGATGATCGAAGAATATTTAAAAAAGGTATTGATTTATAGGAGATTATTTTAAGATGTTTAATACAACTTTAGTACTGAAATGAAGAAAAATATTTTTATATAACAGGTTTTACGCGTGTGGAAATTGTAACATTCGACCAATTTTACAATTGGTAGATAAAAACGTATTGTCACCATCAGAACTAAAATAGGACGGGGTATAATCACTGAAAGCTTCGGTTCTTTTGTTCATGTGTGGGAGAGATTTGATGATAACCCCGCGGCATGTTGCTTCTCCCATTTTTCCACTCGCGTTATCAGTAACAAAAGAGGATTTTTTTCTATGTAGCCAGTTGTCCAGAGGACGCCGAGAGAGATGCTCCATTTTATCGACCTGCCCAACGAGGAAAGAGCGAGGATCGTGGATGACCACGACTATTTCGTTTTCGATATAGATGGTAAATCATGGAAAAATATCAGCCCGGAAATATTTATGATAATAATGTTAAATTTAATTTTTGTTATAATTTGTTAACTTTAGATAACAAAAATATAAACTCATTATAATTTTACAGGTTGGGCAGTTTTGTTGTTTGGCTTTAACAATAATTATTTAAAGTTAAATATTTTTACTGCAATTGGGCATGTAAGCAGCAAAAATAGGTGCACTTGAAATAATGTTACATAGTAATTTTAAATTTCAAGTTTTTCACTGAAAAAAGTGGATAATTATACGTTTACCTTCTCAATATTGCCAGTTCGACTATAACAAAATATTGTTACTTATTTTATTAAAAACAGAAATAGTTTTTGCCTAAATGTGAGTCAGTTGCGAAAAAAAAGCAAAATAAATATATTTTTTCAATAGAAATGATTGCTGAATAAGAAATAAAGGTTTAATATTACATACTACTAAAATGTTTTTGAGATAAAATTCTTTAGTGATTTTCGTCAAAATGTGCCATTTTAGTGCCCACAAACGTATCACATTTTACTGAATGAACAGACGCAGGTAAATATACCGTTATGTAATTAAAGTGGTTCTGGGTTTTTAAATCGTGAATTTATTAGTTCGCCTGAGAATAGTTGAACGACCTTGCATCATACTTAAAGATCCACGTAATTGTAATTTTGGTGTGATTATGTAAAACTAAAAAAGTTCAATTATCAAATCCCACAGACCAAAAAATACTATCAAACTTCATGATAAATTTCATTCTTCAATGAGTTTAGAAGACTAAAAAAAATAAATTGATAGGTTTTGTTGTAAATTTAAAAACCTACAATTGAATAGTAGGAAATAAGAAACAATTTAGAATGGAACGTTAAAAACTATTTAGGTTTTGGTAGGTGTGCGATGGAAAGTTAGATTGAGTGAAGTAGTTATGAGATGTTGTCAGCCGTTTGGCCATTACTCACCATCTCTTTGTCGGACCATTTGCGGGACAAAAGAGAAAAACCGTGTTCCGGTCTTAAATTCACGTAGACCACATAGATTTCAGATAAAACACAAACAGCGGCGAAATACTCCGATAAATACGATCAAACGATAGTGAAAAACTATACCGTTGTATAACTAAACTGCGCAGAAATGAGTAGGGGGATATTGGAAATTTTGTTGTATTCCCTAGCATTTTTATTCTGTTTTTATTATAAATTGTATTACAATTTATTAGAAATTATTATGTTTTTTATTGAAGGGAAATTTAATTAAGTAATGGTGAAAAATAACAATATAGAAGGTTTTAATTCCATAATTTTGTTTATTAACCACAATAATTTTTTTTAAACAATTAATACCGAGTATAAAGACTTCTGTTAACTAAAACCTCTGTGCACCTGTTAGGGATACTGCTAATAAGGTTGTCACTAATTGCATAAGGAATTTTACTCCATAGCTGTTGCAACGCTACACTCAGTTGTTGCAGGTCAACTGGCTGTGGTGATCGAAAAATTTCCTGTGCACGTATCCCACATGTGCTCAATGGGATTGAGATCTGGAGATAATGGGGGAAGAGGCAGACGGTATCCATAGGTTTTCTAAACATTGGTGAACAATTCTGCCTATATGACGTCTGGCATTACCAACCAGATATCGAAAATCCCTGCCAATTTGTATTCCTCGATAAATTATTGTTCATGACTGCGGTGAGGTTGCCTTCAAAAATATGGAGTACATTTCTCCTCCAGTGTCAATCCCAGCGCAGATCACATCGCCTCCTCCAAACTGCATTGAAAGGAGCACGAACTGGAGCATTGTGCGCATACCCTGTTCTCAGTAGACACTTCCGCGCCTGCTGTCACTAAGCAGATAGAAACTTATCAGTGCACATAACAGCAATCCAATTGGTGTTTTCTTCCAGGCGCTCGATGCACCATATTCTAGCCGTGAGTGCCCGGCAAGCAGTCTAAATCAGTAGACAGTTTGGCGAACCTCTGAAATGATCCTTGCCACAATTAACTGCCGGGTTTGAGTCAGTTACACTTCGCGGACAGCACTATGAGAGTCCTATATGCGAGAATTAAGAAACTATGGCGCAAGCACTTTCCAAGCCTAACTGCACGCATTTGAGGTCGGACTCGTAGTGGTACGTGGTGAGAACATTACCTTGAGATTAGCCCAGGGGGTACCTCTGGACGGTGGTAAGTATTTCACTTAAACAAAAAACCGATCGCGGCCCGTCTGTCGTAAGTACCTACGCTAGGGGTGCGCCTCCACTCGGGGTTTCGATAGAGCTGTCTTCTCCGACCCAGCCGTGCAGAAGGGCCAAGGCTCGATGTGAAAATCTAATGTATGCACCCTCCTCCCGACCCAAGAGTGTCGCCTCCCTTCTTGTGAAAAGATCCCGTGCTCGCATGGGAGACTGATATGGCCCCTAGGGCTAGGGCGGTCTTGAAAGATCCTCATGTCTTTGTTTGGGCGTCGAGCAAGATTGGGAAAGAATGCACCATTTTCACCTGGGTTGCTGGGGGCGGGCTGTTTGCTGAAGGTCGTCTTAAAGGGCATACAATGTGAGTTTAAGAATCGTTTGTGTTGATAGAAGCCTTGCCCAAACATATTGTACTTCATTTAGGATCTGGCGGGCACTGTGGAAAGGGGGGTCTTGTAGCAAGACTATATTTCTGTCCTCCCTTAGCGTCGCAATGCGCTGAGATCCGCTACCAGGCCTCCTATTGGCACTTCAGTCACTCGGAATCGGGCTAAAGCCCGGGAGATCATGCTCTGAGAAATGCCAACTGCCTGTGCGATATCCACTTGCCCGTGACCTCGATGACTTATTCTCACAATAGTTTTGCAAACTTCTGTTTCAAGGTGTTTTTCCATGGTTATAGAAAATTCAACTGGATTAAAATGGACAGACAAATTAATAGACGAGAAAAAGTGTATGTTTACAAAATGAGTAATCTTCAAGTTTACTACGTCTCTTCTTAAGTAAATCCGTTATTAAAACATTTGTACGTTTTGGTTTGTATTTTCTATTTTATTTTATCCAACTAACAAGAATATCGGTTAATTTAATTAAAATTAATAGAATAAGAATAAATTACAATTATCCCTATTCTTTTTTGTGCAGTTTATATAAAATTTTACGTGAATGAGAGATGTATTCAAGCCATCCATTAAATTATATAATAAGTTTTATTATTTTAAGCTAATTCTAATATTTTTGAACTAGTCTAAGAAAGTCATTATTAAGTTAGCGTGACTTGACGTTGATTGCCAGCTTAATATTTAATTCAGGGTTGAAATGATCTAGTGCGTATCAACGGACGTGACGGCGGTTCATCTCATGATTATTTAACGATGTATTCCCAACGCACCAAATTTATGCTGAGAACCATCGACAAATTTCATAGATAAAATGGTATTTCTGCTTTTTTTCAGGTGTGATTTTCAATGGACCCGTGTTGGTCCCTCATGCCGAGGATGTTATGAAAAAACTGCACGCTTCAGGGAAAATAATAAAATTATTCACCAATAATTGCGCCGCTTCCAGAAAGGAAATTCACAGGGTCTTAAGTAGATCGTTTCCATTTCTAAAAAAGGTACTGGTTATATGCAATTTATTTCGAATATCGGTAATTGTGTGAACCATAAAGTCAAAATTTTGAATATTTTTATTAAATTAGAGTATTTATATTAACAATTATTTCTCTGGCTCATAGATTTGCGTCAATGATAAAACCAATACTACTTTTTTAAATTTGATTTTACAGACATGTAATAGTGTAAGGTTATAGGTATTGTATTATTTACCTTATTCCTATTTTGGTTAACTCAATGTCATAAACATTTATTTGAAATTTAAAAATAATTTAGATAAATTCAGGTAAATTTAGATAGCTCATAGAAAAGAACACAATTCAAATATATTAACTCTATTTTAAATTGCTAATCAAAATGTTTGTCCTTCCTTTACGATATAGTAACCCGATTTTCTTAAATATCTACCGCAAATTTAGATAGCTTATAGAAAAAACACAATATAAATAAACTAACTCTATTTAACAATAGTATTAACCAAAATATTCGGTCTTTTTTTACGATACAATAACCAGATTTTCTTCAAAATTCTCCTTGGTTGATCGCAGAATTGTTTGAAGATCAAGGTGAAACCAAGCTTCTGCCAAAGAACATTTCCTCCAGGGTTAAACTTCCTACAGTTTATTTTTTATTTAATAACACACACCAAATATTCCAGTAGGCTTAAGTAGTATGCCAAATGGAAATGGTAAATAAAAGTTCATTTTTGACTTCAAAACAATGGCGGACAATTTTTTAGGTATAATTTGCGATAAAATAGAAAGGATCTGATGAATGAATCTTCAAATCAAAATGTTGGTTACCATTTGAAAAAGTTCGTTTTTATTATTTTAAGTAATTGACAAAAACTTTAATTATTGCCATGTTAGAAAGTAGATCTTTTGCTCAAGAAAAGTTTAAAGTTGCATTTCTAGGTTGAGTAGTTTTTGACAAAACCAGGAGTGTTACTAGTAAATTGTCTACTTGTCAAAACTTTGCACTATTGAACATTTGTTATTATTTATTTATAAAGAAAGTTTTGGACTTTCTGACCTTGCTTCTGGACAGACTAAATAATTCATTTCAACAATAATATCTTTACAAAAATAGTAACTATCTTTTAACTAATCTAACTAAACTTTTAACTTACTTGATTATTAAATTCACTAGTTTTTGTGGTCCGTTTGACCAATTAATATCTTTCAATTAATTATGGTTTTCAGTTGAGATAAAAAAGTCAATGGCACGAGCGGGATTCGAAATGTTTGAAAAATGGCAAAAAGGAGGGAAAATTCAAAAAAGGTGTGGTTGAGATGGGAAGTTGGTGTCCGAGTGGAACGAAGTCACGATAGCTCAAGTGGTAGAGTAGCGGTGAATCTAGCCAAAGGTCGTGGGTTCGAATCCCGCTCCTGACACTGACTTTTTTATCTCAACTAAAAACCTTAATTAATTGAAAGCTTATTATTAGATTATTTTTAAACTTAAGATAAAATGTTGGCACGATAAAGAAAATGTTTTTCTTTACCTACGTCACACCAGACCGCATCTCACGATCTCCAAATAATCTCTAAACTTAAAATTAGTTCTACGACGAGAAGAATAATATTGTACGAAAGGACAAGAAAGAATTATGATTTTATTAATTTTACAAATATTTATCATCAGCAATAAGGATAATTCCTCACGTAGTTGAATATCGTTGATCACTTTAGGTGGGGAGTGGAGAGAAAGACCCTGTTGAGAATATTTGACTCGTGGCTTTCTTCGAGTATCTTCTAAGGATATAGGATCTATGCCTCAGTCCGAAAAACGCACCTCAGAAAGCTTGATAGGCTCTAATATCATTGTCTTAGAAAAATACTCTTGGCCAGCCGGTGCTGCGAGCTGAGGGTATTGCATCCCAAACTTCGGAGAGAGCAACTTACCAGGGGCATGCCCCCGCTAGAATGATCCTCAAGTGCCCGTCGTCTACCTCTCGGGATTTGTTTCGGTGAAGAATTAGGGAGGATGGTGCTCTGGACGGAGTATCGACCGACAGCCACCGGATCTTTCCGGCATTACTCATATACCTGCAAGGCTAAGTTAATTGAACTTAGAAATAAATACTCCGGTTTTCGTTTAGTATTTACAGACAGGTCCAAGACCGGCGATGGTGTTGCGTGTTGATTTCATTTGCCTCCTCAGTGCAACTTATACCCCGCTGAACATATCACTCTTGGCACCCTTTCGGGGCTGCGGATCGAGGAAGGCTCGGCCTCTCGGTGAACCTCTCGTCGAGCTCTTGCTAGAAAAATACGCCGAGGTGGAGCGCCTCGGAAAAACGGACGTTTTGTCTGAATTCCCGGACACGACGACCTGGAGGGTAACGAACGTGCGGAAGAGGCAGCGAAAACCGGGACGTCCTACCCTAGCGAATGTATTGTCGCGATAAGACCTCAGGATCGCTGCAAGAAAGATGAAAGCGTTAGTGGGCGGGGTCGTCCAAGAGGCTCTTGCGTGCCTGAGAACCTGAGTAAAAAACGAGGAATCGTCCTTTGCCGATTGAAAATAGATCATACGCGGTTCACACACGGGCACCTGCTGCTGGGTCAAAGCCTGCGCAGGTGACCCTTATGCAAAGAAAGGTTTCTCGATGTGTTCCCCATTACAAAAGTTTGCCATGTCTTGGCTGCTGACACAGAGCGTGTCAAGCCGCCAAATTTAAGAATGGCTACGGTAGCGAGTTTCCGGTTCCCTGTTCCGCATTTTGGAGGACATAAGAGATTTCTTTATTACATATAGTTAGGTTTTATGTGTTTTGTGATATGTGTTTAGTATGAGTGTGTGTATTCATTAATGTGAGTGAAGTGGAAATATAAACTAACCATCACCCCTCCCATCGATCCTAATTTAGATTTGATTATTAATACTTACGTCTTACCGAATTTAGTTACCGAGTATTATTTAGACTATAGTTTGCATGCGTTTGGGGCTGAATTGACCTTGCTGTCGCCAGCTCTCGTTGAAGCCTCGTTGATTGGGAAGCGACGATCTCCTGGGAATCTGGCTTAAGGGGGACACTAGCGAACCAGCCACATAACGGGGTAAGTGAACTCCCCTGAGATATAGACCCTAGGGTCAGTACATCGGGTAGTGACAACCCTTTGAGTTGAACATTTACATGTGTTGTACATATGGACAATTATGTAAAAGCCATTTAAAACCATTAAAAGCCATAACCAGTTTATATAAAAACTACTTGAATAAATTCCAGAATAAATTGTTAGATAAAAGATAATCAATCACTAAATGATTTTCCTGTGTTTGGTGAATTTTCTTTAAAACCATCATAATTAAATATTTATTAAAACTCATGAAATTCTTATCCCGTTTAATTTGGTATACATTAAAATAAATATGTTGTAATATAACATATAAAAATACATTCATATAGTTTGAAATAAATGACAAAATACATCCAGTTTTTTTGTACTTGTGTGCATAACTGCTTATTAGACATATAAAATTTTTGCTTTAAAAATTGCAAAAAATTGACGATTTGTTTATTCGAAATTTTAATATCAAGATCATGTGGTGATTGAAATCGTCCTACAATTTACGAAATATTCCAATTGTACAACAATAAAATATATCAACATAAAATTATTTCATATCTTTAATCAGTCAACAAATGGGAACCGACTTTAAAATAAATAAGAAAAGTAGTTTGACCTATTTTAATAATTTATTGTTTATTAATAACTAGTTACTAACCAATAGGCTATTTATTTTGCCGTTTATCGTTATCTGTTCTTATTTACTGGCTGTTTGAAGATTGGAGATATTTTTTATGTTCTTAAATTTTTAATGTTGAAGAAAGATGTAGATACTTCGTTTATATGTTATATAAGGTGGTTAAGGCAATAAATTGGATAGAATTAGTTAAGTAGATGACTCTTTATTTAATCAATTAAATGTTGAATTTAAAAGCGATTTCAAATTGATTAAAAATGTATACCAAATATATAAGCTGGATTTGGTGCGACAAGTTCGCTTTGCGAAAAGTATAACAAAAATGTCAACGTAGTGAAATAGGAAACCCATTTTTGCGATAATTTACTAAATTTACAGTTTACTATCATCCAAATTTTTGTGGGCATCTCATGGCAAACCACACTGCACTCTCCTTCCTGGGGTGGTAACAACTAGTAATTAACCTTATGTTTATAATAACTGTTTATTAGTTATTCAGAAATCGTGAGATGCGGTCTGGTGTGATGTAGGATTCAGAAAAACATTTTCTTTATCGTGCCAACGTTTCGACCTTTATTGAGATCATCTTCAGGGCTCAAAGTGTTTGTCTTCTGTGTAATTGTGCCATTCTTGCTTGTCGTGTTGAGAGTGCCACCAGACCGCATCTCGCGATTTCTGAATAATTATCGATTAACGGTCACTAATCACCACGCACTGTTTATTAGATTTAAAAAAAATGAAACTAAATATTTGATAATTTCGATTGTGTTTTAGACGAGTCAATATTAACTTTCGATTGATCAAAGTGTATTAGGCTTTTGTTAGTTTTCCTGCTTTTATTGGTTTTTTCCAGTCTTTATCTTTTATAGCACTAAATAGTTTCATATTTTATATTTACTTCGAATCCAGTTTAATCTCCAGTTTTTTCTTTGGGATATCAACTCTAGCCGTTACTCGAGTTTTTATTCACTGTTTTACAACTTCTTTGCTCCCCCTCCCCTTTTTACAGAATATTTAAGTTTTAAGCTATTTCTTGTAAAATAGTAAGTAGATCTGTAAAAGACAAATAGTGAAATAACGAACCTCCTAATATGTAGCTTTATATTTTTAGAAAATTATTTCACAATAATTTTATAAGGAAAATTATACCGTTATTTTTGTAGAAAATTTATGAAATAAAGAAATAATGACGTTTCTTTCTTCTATAAGAAATTAGTTTTAGCTAAGAGTACTTCATTGAGAACATTAAAAAAAATCTTTTTAGAAATACAGAAAGTATTTTTATATTGTA